GAGGGAATAAACTTATGGCCAAACACAAAAACAAAACATGAGAGTGGTGCGAGTGATGAGGAGGTGTCGGCGTTCTGGTGATTTTCTCCCAACTCCGGGATTCCGGCAGGTTGACTTCGGGGTGGCGTATGCGCTGTGAAGTTGTTTGCGGCTCAGTAAACGCAAAGCAGAAGCAGAAGAAGTGAAGTCAGGGCTTCATTTGCGTCAATCTTCCCTCAGGGAATTTATTCCGGTGTGAACGCTGATCGGCTCTTAGTTCATGGGGGTACTAGTGCTGAGACTAAGTACGGAAGTATTTGGTTTGAAAATGGGCTAATGGGCAAGACAATTGAATGAAACACAACATGATCACAAACTACCAATTACACATGACAAAAGGGGCTAACAAAACGATCATAACATACTAAATGAGAAAAAACACTTACAAATGAAAATATACAACTATAAGGAGACACAGAATGACTACATAAGGCCACAAACACTCAAGAAATGCAAACTACAAAAGGAGCACACACAACAAAAATAATACCATACTATTGGTAAAAGATACAAAGACCACAAGATACTACAAGAGTCCCAAAACAACTCAAATAGATGACAAACACAAAAGGCAAACGCAAAACAATACATAACTTCAAACAAGAAACAACAAATACAAATTGACAAAAAAACACTACATAGATCACAAAAATTACCACAAAGGATGAAAACTACAGAGAGATGCACACGCACAGAGCGCTCAACAACCACTAACAAAAAAATAACTACAAGTCAAATTATATACAATTGACAAACATCTAACAGATACACGACATACAGAAGATGCAAATGACTACAAAAGCTGCACACACAACTACAAGTGATGCATGCAACAAAATGAACTACTTACAGACAACACATTACAAAAGGGTGACTACTAAAAAGCGGCCGTCTTGGTTGGTGGAGTTTTTTCTGGGCACCATGGCCCATGATATTAGATATGATAAATAATGCTATGAAATAAGTATTGATAAACAAGTTTTAAAACTGTCCATTTGCTGAACATAACGAATATGACATTTCCAGTGCAGAGATCAGCCTGGCAGGATGCGCTCAGTTTTATTTCTGTGAAAATGTGCGTATGTTTCGTTTCCGAAAGAAGTGACACACTCGCGCAAGATTGCAACATCAGGATTAGGTGTTTGGGCAAGCCAGTTGTAAACTTTGCCAAGCCAATGTTGAACAGCGTTAGAAAATAATTGATCCTGACACTCCTTCCTAACACATCACCGCAGGCCTGTTAATATCATAGTGTCAACACCGTATTTTCTTATTATTTCGACCAAATTAAGATACTAGTACACAGTGGTGTAACGTCACTGAGTACATTTACTCAAGTACTGTACTTAAGTACTTTACTTGAGTATATGCATTTCTTGCTACTTTGCACTTTTACTCCACTACAGTTCAGAGGTAAATGGTGTGCTTCTACTCCCCTACATGTATTTAATACCTTTAGTTACTTTGCAGATTTGGATGAATGATGTGAAATATAATTAAGTGTTAAAACAGACTTTAGTTCCACCTGGAGTAAATCCACAAGCTACCCTGCAGTATACAAAGTCATTCAAACTAGCTGCACCTTTACCAGCTTTGAGAACACTTTAACGATCAATCATTATAAAACATATCATATATATTATTCTGAAATGGACCAATCTGCACAATCACTACTTTTAATGTTGTACTTTTACTTGAGTAACATTTTGATTGCAGGACTTTTACTTGTAACAGAGTATTCCTTCACTCTGGTACTTCTACTTTTACTCAAGTACAATATCTGAGTACTTGTTCCACCTCTACAGTACTGCATTGTACCTTATTAGCAAATACTGTGTGTTATTATGTGTACAAACAATGTAAATAGTAACTGTGAGAGATATTCACCTCTGAAATGTATTGGAGTAGAAGTATAAAGGTGGATTAAATGGAAATACATAACTCAAGTCAATTACAAATATCTCAAAAAAGTACTTAAGCACAATACTTGAGTAAATGTACTTAGTTACTTTCCACCTCGTTACATTAAGACTTTCAATGTAAGATTTCAGAACATCAGGTTTTAATACTCGGTAAAGTAACATGAGTAAAAGAAAACAGTTGTTAGTTTTGATTCCCAGCAGCCTACTGTTAGAGCCCAGCCCTTCAACTGGCCTGTCTTCTTCTAGAAAATTAATAAAAAACCAAATGGCTTTTGCTGCCCTCTGCACACTTCCTCCTAACGCTACACATCATCGCTGGCTATTTATATAATTGGTGTCAACACAACACTGATGCCATGGCAATGCTGCTCCACCTCAAGTACACCATAATGAGGAACGCCTGTTTCCCTGAACATACGATCACAGAGGCTCAGAAAGCCACGGTTAATAATTCATCTTCAAATAATGATTAACAGATGTAAACTTTGGTCATAAAATCAAACGCACCTCCCCAACAGCAGTGAGCTTTCCATGCACCACATCACAAATCATTCGAATTGAAGGAAATGTTTTCCAATTGCCATACAAATATGTCAGTTCATTGTGAAAGGAAATCGTTTTGTATGGAGTATATACAAGTAAATGAAAAGTATTATAACATGCTAATATCTAGTTTAAAGTCAGATAATGACCTTGATAACATCTGATCATTCTTTTTACACTTCGGTAGCGATAGGCTATTGACATTTTGGTTTGACATGTTCTGTATCGCCATAATATTTCAAATGACATCCAGTCATAAAGGTCCTTGCTCAACAGAACACAACAAATAATGGTCTTAGTAATTCATTAAATAGAATCACAGCACAGAAGAGGGGTATTGGATTTCAGTGTTGTCCAGCAGAGTTCCCAGCTCTGGTGAATGAGGTTTTTTTATTTGGGCATGAAAAATACTAAAAAGATTAAAGAAAGAGTTCCCTTTTATCTTTCCAAAAAACGAATAATGTTTTTGTTCAGTGTTGTGGGGCACCACAGCCAACACTGGTAAGATAAAGGAGATGGTGGGAGATTTAAGCGCCCACAGAACACACCCTAAACCTGTCACCGGCAAGTGTGTTGACGTGGAAACTTTGCAGAACCAAAGTACCTGGGATGAGACCTGGACAACAACCAGGACTGGGATTAAAGAAATGGGCGTTTTAGAAGAAGGTTTGCTCCTTTACTGGTACTGAGGGGTGGTGTTAGGTCATTACAGAGGGCCCGGTGCACGCTGTAGAAAGCCCAAACACACACCATCCGGTTGTCTTGTCCCATCATTAAAGGTTTCCTATGATGCTATTTTTAGGCATATATTATGGGTCTCAGATATATAAAAACATGTCTACAAAGTGCATTTTGCATGATAGGTCCCCTTTAAATAGAGACAGGGCATTGGACAGTATCAACATATTTTACCCAGCAATCATCTTATAACTGTGTATCACTGAAACAAAGAAAATTATATATTTTTTGATTTGGTTGAATATTTTTGTAAGGGTTCACTTGTAGTGTATGTTATGTTTAATATTCTTAAGTAACATTATTTGACCACTGCTTGTCTTTTTCTAGAAACTCATTATAAAGTGCAGAATGGCTCTTGCTGCCCTCTGCTGACAAAGAGCAAAGATGCCGGGTGAAATCTGAACCCAGACACCCATTCTGTGTTATTTGGACATTTCGCTTCTGTACTTCAACAAATACATATACATTTTAGGAGACTAGAAAAAATAGTGAATTAATAGATGAGAAAATCTACATCAATAAATCAGAAAACTCTTCTGATGGTAAAATAACTAGGGTTGGTGGGACACAACATGAATGAAATTGTGCTTCGCCTTTTTTCCTGATATTTAACCATTAATAAAAGGAACATAATCCGGAGTTCAATTAGTTCTGTAAAACATTTTTGGGTTTCAGCCCTATCATTTAAGAAGAAATCAGCCAAAGTTGTTGATGCATCAGTGTTTATTGTTGTCTTAACAAAAGCAGCTGAACTGGGCCTAAAAAAAAGGACAACATTTACATTCAAATCATGAACTATCAATACCAAGGATTAAAGAAAACACATTTTAAACTGCCTATTTGCGCTGTAAGAGTTTCAGAGGCACCATAAATGGGTTGAGGGGCAGACAGAGTCCCGTTAAGTCCAGCTTCCCTGATTGGCCGGTGGCGTTATTGCTCCCTGATGATTGGCTCTCAGCTTCCTCCGGCTGCAGTCTCTTTTCTCCACTGTCCGTGACATCACTGCTGTCAGCTGGCCCAGCGGCGTTCTGCTCTCCGTTTGTTCTGGTGCCGTCTGTCTGAACACAGAGTCCCCCCTTCAGCTCTTTCAACATTTCTCTGGCCACCTTGGAGTCAGCGGTGGAGGAGAGAAATCGGTACACCTGAAAACAGGAAGACGAGGGCTGTCAGGTTGTCATGATAGCGTGCACCCGAGTGGTGAATACACATTTTTTTAAAGGGAACAAAGTTTAACAATAAAAATCCACGAACTGATAACTAATGAAAGGGTTAATGACCTGCAAACTGGACAACACCGCGATAGCCACCTGTCAATCACAATTTTACCAAAGCATTGGTTCTTCATTGTCTATTGTGCTCTAAATAGGACAATAAATTCCCAAATGATCATGTTGTATTGAAAAAAAATAGTCAATGAGACCATAAACTCGTCAGGAAAATGCTTAATGAGGGAATAAATCATGTGACAGTTAATGTAATTATCTCATAGACTTCTATTAAATTGGCTTAAATTTTCCGACCTGGGGGTTTCTACTTGACCAAAACCTTTGCAAGTTTGGTACGTACCAGAGTAGGGCTGCACGATTTGGGGAAATAATCTAATTGCAATTTTTATGACAGATATTGCGATTGCGATTCGACCCAACGGAAGTTTAGGACTCGATTATCAAATTAGTCGTTTGTTGCAGCCCTATAGCTCGGGCTGCGGGGGTGCTAGAGACGGGAGCACGCTGATACGACCTTCCTAGCCGGAGATATGGCCGCATTTTACAATAAACTTCCGTTGAGTCGACTGACTGAGATAAGGGGAGCTACATTTATGTTGACGATCATATAAAACCACTCGAACACGTTTGCATGTGAAATAAAGTTTGTGTTCGAGTGGTTTTATCTATCGCCATATCTCCGGCTAGGAAGGTCGTATAGGCGTGCTCCCGTCTCTAGCACCCCCGCAGCCCGAGCTATAGGGCTGCAACAAACGACTAATTTGATAATCGATTAATCTATCGATTAATGAAACGATTAATCGACCATTCAGACTATTACTGTATGCCTTGCACAATTTCTCAAACGCTCTTATTTAGCCATCAACTTTTAGATTTAGCTTGAGGTTGTTTTAGGCATGTGGAAGACTAACAATGAAGGACAAATAAAGTGAATACTTGATTCCAAAAAATACATAATTAACTTAACACATTTGTGAACAAAATGAACATTGCTTTTATTTAAAATTAAATAAAGATATTTCACATCAAAGAAACACAATGTTTTAACAATCGTATTAAATAATCTGATGACAGAACTATAAACAGAATAGTGAAACTTTAACAAACTAATTAAGTCATTACCTCTAATCAATTACCGATGTTTGTATAAGTAGTTAACTCCGTGTGTTGCTGCTAGCATACATAGATACCTGATGTGAAACGTTACTTCGTGGATGGGGGCTACAGAGCTAGCAGAAAGACAGTCGAACCCGGTGGCATTTCCTCCGCATGAATGGGGTGCACTTTTGCTAAAATGTTTAGACAAACAGCTCTTGTTACCGCCCTTACATGCTAAACCTTATTGCTCTTTGGCACGAGCATTGTCACATCGAGACGGGGTAAGTTTAACCACACCTCCGGAGCGCGGTTCTCTCCGCCATCTCCCGCAGTGTGTTGCTGCAATTGTAGCAGCCGCGTGTTGTGTAAACTGCCCCGCCCCCTATCGCACACAGACGGGGGAGAGAGACTCGTCCTGATCGAAAATACATAGACGCATTTGTTTGTCTTTTTTGCATATTAGAAACTAGTTGGCCAACATAAGACTTTGCGATATAATGTTTTGTAGCAATAATACATGACATATTTTTTTTAAATGTCTCCCAGAAGATCTTATAAAATCTTCGGCTTGCGATTTGATAATTGCATCATTTCAAATGAGCGATTCTCGATCAAATCGATTAACGTTCAGTCCCTAGCCTGATAAATACATTGCGTTTAGTATCCTGGTTGNGGCAGGTAGGCCATCCAGTTATTTTAGCCGGGCCGGCTCAAATTATTGGTCGTGCTTTTTACAGCACCACGGCTTCCACAGATGACAATTTTTTATGTATTTATTGTCAAAGCACTTAAGATATTCATTGCTATCGGGTTGTTAAGAGCATTCCATGGAATATAACAACAAGTGTTTCTGAAGTGGATTACCTACCCTACCTTTAATATATTATAACTCAACAATGTTTCAGTAATTGAGGCTTTGGGAGTGAGAATTGGTTGGTATTCAACATTTATGATTTCAAATTCCACTTCTGCCAAATACCACATGGACCACATTACACCCCTGCACTTTATTTACTATCATAAATTGAGATTTTTAAAAATGTTACATAGTTATCTGCCACCCAAATTCTGTTTTGACAAGCTCAGAGAGTGACATGTATTTCTGTCTCTTCCTCTCCACTCTCACTTCTTTCTCAGCCTTTATGTCCCAAAGAGCTGTGGCACTTTGTCCATCAGTGCTATGGTAATGAACTGGGTCTTACCAGTGACGATGAGGACTATGTCCCTCCTGATGAAGACTTCAACACCATGGGGTGAGTTTTAACACAACCATTCAAATATGATGCATCCACCATGTGTTCCATTTCCTGCAGTTATGGTAAGAAATACTTCTGGTGTAAACACATTGTTATGTTATTATGAACATTACAAATGATTTGAGTCTGAAATGACTGCTTTCTTTCTTACTTCTTTAAGTATTAGGGAATGTATTATTATCAATTTGGTGATGTTTTATGGTAACGGAATGGTAATGAGTGATTCACTACCACATTGGTAGAAAAGAAAAAGTTTAAAGACCAAATGTGTATTTAAACGTGCCATTTGACAACTCCAATGAACTAGGAATCATAAAATTAAGGTTTCAAGTTTAGGAAGATGGTGAAATATTCTGCAAATTAAACCAATAACCTAATATTATGTAGTTTTGGTGATACAGAACAAGGGATACATACAAATGAAAAAAAAACGGTGATACACAGGTAAGCCGTACTAAGAAATAGTAGCAGAGTTTCTATGTGTTTTTTTTATTATTTACAACTGAAATAGTCATCAGGGATCCAAACAGTCAAAATATTTGATGTCCCTCTTGCAGGACAATAAGTCAATTAAAACCATGACACCCCCATCACACCATGCATGTGTGCAGCCCAGTGCGGGCGGTGTGCAGCAAGCTGGTAACCTTGACCTACAGCTGCTGTCCGTCTCCATGGTGCAGGTACTGTGAGGAGCTTCCTGTGGAGGAGAACATCGAGCAGAGCCACGACATCAGCAACAACCTCAGCAAGAACCCCGAGGCCAAGCCCGATGTGAGCCCCCTCGTGCCTCACAGACCCTTCCCCGAAATCAGCCCCCCGGAGCTGCCCAGCACGGAGCCCCCAGCCCCTGTGAGTGCACGGGACTCCCCGCACAACTGTGTTTGTACTGTGGGAGATAGCAAACATTGTATCTTTGGGGACTTCTAAAACACACAAGAAAGTTGAAGCTGGCTTCCTGTAGCGATCATTGTACGTACACATAGTGTTAACAAGATACTGTACACATATACCGGATATTAAACACACACAAGTAAATAGCTATTATATACAGCGAAGCCATATTAAGGAATAGACAAAAAACATGAATGTAAAGTTGGTGTCTGTGAGACTCTGCTGACAGTGGAGACTTCTGATTAGAATAATCAGAGCAGTAATTGCTATAAGATATAATAATGTGGTTGCCTTTTATTTCATAGAAGTCTTGATAAAGCCCCCAAGGAGTCTGAGTGACATAAATAAATAGGATTTTGTAAAACTGTGCCATCATAATGAACCATCATCACACATTACATAAGTTCTCAATGTGTCCTCATTATCGGCACAATGATGAATGCAAAGCACATGTTCCACTGCTGTACTGTTTTAACAGAAATGATAATACTGCATTACGACACATGAAGGGTTTGCATAAAACATTTGTTATACTATTACATTTCAACAATGTGGATGTATCATGTTGTTAGTTCACATACAGTACATCTTAAGGAAGTGCTTCAAAGGAAAGCGTAGATTACAGTTTACTCATAAAGATCAGTATCATCATGACAGTTGCTCAGCCCCTGAGACTGCCCAAAGGGCACACAGG